GGCGTGCTGGCCGACCACCCAGATCCTCAGCCTGTCGCTGCCCCGGTGGCGCCCGGCTGGCCGAGCGTCCGCGCAGCGCTGCCTGATCCCGCTGACCGCCGCCTGTGTCGCGCTGTCGCCCTCGGGCGTGCGGAGCGGGCGGGCGGCGTGGTTCACGCTGGCGGACAGTCCTTTGTTCACCGTGGCGGGGCTGTGGCGCGATCATGGCGGTGCGCGCTGTTTCGCGATGCTGGGCTGTGTAAGCGGCCATGCACCCCGTCCAGCCTGCCGATGATCGTCGCGCCCGAAGACCGCGCGCGGTGGCTGGCCGGCGATTGGGACGACCTATCGACTTTGCAGGCCGCCCGGTCCCCCGAACGGATCCGCATCGGGCTTTCGGATGCGCCGTCCGCGCCCTATGACAGGATCGACCCGATCGGCGCTCGGCAACAGGATCGCGCCATGGGGGCACGCTGACAACAGGACGGAACCGGATTTGACCCGATCGGCGCCACGCAAAGGCTATGGCGTCGCGCTGCTGATGGCGCTGGTCCATATGCTGGCGGTGGGCGACCGTTTCCTGCTGTCGATCCTGATCGAGCCGATCAAGACCACGCTCAATCTGGGTGACGGTGCGATCGGCTTTGTCCAGGCCCGCCTTCGCGCTGGTCAACGGACTGGCGGTGATCCTGATGATCATGGCCGCGCCGCTGGCCGCTCGCCCGGCTGCTCGCGCTGGCGCTGCTGGGGTCGAGCCCGCGACGCTGGCCTGCGGATGGGCGGGGTCGGTCGAGGCGTTGATTGCCGCGCGGATGCTGATGGGCTCGGCGCAGGCGGCGATCGGCCCGGCTGCGATCGGCCTGATCGTCCTGACCATGATCCCGGCGCATCGCGGACGGGGCATCGCCTTCTTCACCGCCGGCGCCTCGCTGGGCGGGAGTGGCGATGATGGGGCTACGACACGAAAGTGCGATTTGCGTACGCCAGACGAACGATCGGCGAACACGAGGCCGCGTCATGCCGCGAGCAACGACGCGGGTGTGCGTAGCGGCCTGAGCTGGCCGGCGGGAGGGCGGTCGTCGGAGTTCCATCGATAGTCGCCAGTGAGCGAGATATGCTCCCACCCCAGCGGCGCGATGTGGAGGGCGATGCGCTGATCCCACGCTAAACAACGGTAAGCGCATCCCGGAGGTCAGCGGATGAAGTATCCGCTTACGCGCCAGCTTCCGTTCTCGCGAGCGAGCACAATGGTTTCGACGGCGTCCGGCTTGGTGGCAAAGCGGGTCTGGAACTGAAGCACCTGATAGTCGCCTGCCGGCGCGCCGGGCAACGTTTCGTCTGCACCACGCTCTGCAAGGTGCGGGACGAAACACGTCCGAGCGGCTGTCGGACGGACTGGATGGTCGTTGCCCATTGCGCCGAGGTGAGCTGCGATCTGAACATCGAACCCGCAGCGCGCCAGCTTGCATCCCACTGCCCACCGTCGAGAGAAGAGCAGCCCACGAGCGGGCTGCCGACGAGGCGCGTCCGTCTCGGCGGGACGCGAGGCGGCTGACGCAGCATTTTGGGCAGGAACCTGTGCGTCGTTGTGCGACCCTACCATGGTCGAGAGCGCCACCGCCGCGATGATAATAGACATGATGAGCATTCTCCGGCAAGCCATGCCCAGCGATGAACCGCCGATTGCGGCGCTGCTGGCGTATCTGCCCTTTCCACCGCGACGGTCGCCCGGGCTTTCCCAATTTCTTTGGCCCCAACGAAATCGGGTCCTGCCCCATCCATTTCAGCGAGACGCCGCGCCGCCTCGCGGCTGCTGGAAACCCCGAATTTGCGCCGTGCGTCGCGAAGGCGGTCGTTGATCGTATAGACCGACAGACCAAGGGTCTTGGCGATCGACTTGGCATCGTGGCCGATCAGAAGCAGCCGAAGCGCTTCCTTCTCCCGCTCGTTCAAGGCTGTTGATCCTGCGTAGCCATGCTTCACCCAACCTGCGCCGGCCGGGCGATCAGCGTGACAAGCCGTTCGTCCTCGCTGAGCTGGCGCCCTTCGGAGCGGGCAAGACGCCGGATAGCGTTCTTGCGCTTCAGCAGCTCCACCGCCTTCTTGTAGAGCCGGTCGGTCTCACCCTTTGCGTAGGTGTAGAAGAAGTCATCCTCGAAGGTGCCGGCTCTGCGACTGTTCGGATGCACGTGCGCATCGCGTGGGGTTTGGTGCGCCCGATCGTGACCTCGGCCGCACCCGTTCGATGCGGTCGAGCGCCATAAAGCTCGCCCGCGCGAGTGTAACAGCTCCATCTTCCGTCCCCTTCTTGGGGCCGGGACCAGTAAAACTAGAGCGTGGCGCGAAGCGCGCCCTTGAACCAAGGCTCGTGAACGGGTATGAGAAGGGTGTCTTACGTCCCGATCGATGCCGCCAAGCATCGCTCATCACGTTCCGGGTGCCCCGGCCTTCGTGCCGGGCATTCGTTTATGTGGTCACGGCCGATCACCGTTTTCTGCCGCGCGCGGTTCGCGTTCGACGACGGCGATTTTTGCAGAAATCACGGCGCCGGCGAACAACAACAATTCGTGCTTTGGCGGACCTAAGCCTGAAAAGTTCGTGCTTTGGCGGACCTAAGCGCCTCGCGTTCGTGCTTTGGCGGACCGGTATTCGTGCTTTCACGGACCGGGGTTCGTGTTTTCGAACCGCACGGCCCCTGACCGAACAGATCGATTCGGAACGCCCTGTTAGGGCGGCCGACAGCGAGGGCTTGGGGGTAATCGTCACAGTTGTGGCCGTGGCCGTTCGCCGTTTGCTCGTCGACATTTTCAGCAGCAAGACCATCACCCATGACGATGTGATAGTCCGGAATGGCGTTCTCCTCCGAAATGCCCCTTCATCACGTGTCGGAAGTGCTTCAGCGAATTCTGATAGCCGAGCTGAAGACGCAGGTCGTCGAGCCCTACTTGAACTGCCCCGGCCGTACACGTTGATCGAGCAACTTCGTAAAGTCTGCGCTCAACCGGTCCGAGCTGGAAGTAGGACGGAGAATATTCCAGAACGCGCCGGTCGCGCAGGATCGCGCGATAGAGCCAATCGCACAGTCGGACCTTGACGCCCTTGAGGCGCTTTTCGCCCCGAGCATTCTTCTGGTAATGAAGCTGGGCTTCCGACAGCCGGGAGAAAAAGCCTGCCTGTCCCTCGCCACCGGCCTCGATGTTGGTCTTGATCTGCGTACCCTGCAGTCTTTTCCAAGGCATCCGACAGCCGCGAATAGGACCGCGCCGAGCCATTGACGCCGGTAACGCGGAACAGATCGTGGGCGGTGAAGTAAAGTCCTGCGCGACGGTCTCCCCGGCATCGAGCTTCGCCACCAGAAGGCTGGCGATATAGAGCAGCACTTCCTTGTCGTAGATGGTCGCCACGCCGCGGGGACTGGCCCGATCTCGATCGACACTGACCTGGTCTTGTAGATCAGCGATCGCTTCCACGCTGTCTTAGTCAGCGCGAAGAACGGGTAGGCCATCAACGACTGCTCGCCGCGAACTTCCGTCAGCAACGGGCTGTCGAGGACGAACAGGTCGCCTTGCCCTGCATCACGCCCGGTCATGCAGCGACCTCCGGAGGAAGCCCGATCGCTGAGGTCCGCGAAAGCACGAAGGAGGGGCGGCGGTGGTCCGTGAAAGCACGAAACGTGGCGCTCGCTCTCTCGGGAAAAGCAGGCAGGACGCCAAGCTGGCGCCCGTTTTCGTGCTTTCGCGGACCCGCGTTAGGAGTGGCAGCGATCGCACGACCCCGTCTCGCAAACGATCCTTTTTGAAGCGCCTTCATGTGAGAACGTGTAGCAGCCGATCAGCCTCTCTCAAAATACTTTCGCGAAACCATCAGCTCATGGTAGGCGTCCGAGATGAGTTTTGAGAATGATCCATGCTGATCGGTTATGCCCGGGTGTCGACCCCGGAGCAGAATCTCGAACCTCAACTCACAGCACTGGTCGATGCCGGTTGCGAGAAGGTGTTCTCTGACAAAGCTAGCGGCGCAAAGGCGGACCGCGCTGGCTTAGCCGATGCACTCTCCCACGCACGCGCGGGTGACATTTTAGTGGTGTGAAGCTGGATCGGCTCGGCCGAACGATGAAAGGCCCGGTCGACCTAGCAACCGAGCTGTCGAAACGCGAGATCGGGCTTCGCCTCGCTCACGGACGGCATCGATACGGCAGGAACCGCTGGTAAGCTCGTGTTCCACATCATGGCAGCTATGGCAGAAATGGAACGCGACCTGATCCGCGAGAGGACGACCGCTGCCCTGATCGTCGCCGGGCGCGGCGGTAGGGTTGGAGGGCGGAAAACAGGTGATGACGCCGCGGCGGATCGACGCGGCTCGCAAGTTGCTGGCCTCTGGAACACCCGCCCGCGAAGTTGCCCTCACGATCGGTGTTTCGGTTGCCACCCTTTATCGACATCTTCCGGCTCCGGTTCAGGAGACGATCAGCGCAGAAGGCGAGAAAGACTAGTAATGAAGAGTTTGCTTGAACAGCTTCCCGCGATTGTTGCTGAGGGTAGGCGCGAGGCTGAGCGAGTGATGGAGCGCGCCGATAGTAGCTATCGGCTCGGCTTTCAGACAAGAGAGCTCGTTCTCCCGTCCAAGGACACGGACTCAAAGAGCCTCTTCGCCAATAAGGCGTCGCTGGGTGTCTCGGCAGCCACGTCGAATGCTCTTATATACGGCGACAACCTTCTAGCTATGGCTGCCTTACTCGCGGGCGATGCCGAGCGCGGATCGCTGCGCAACAAGATCGATTTTATCTACATCGATCCTCTGAGCAGCCCCCATCGGGTGGTCCGGATTGTTAGTTAGTGCATTTGGACACCAGCACATGTGCGAGCAGCCCGGCACCGGGCCGGCCGCGCTCGATGGGCAGGGATGGCAACGGTGCCTGCACGATGCGCTCGCATGACCGGCAGCTCAGCCGCGGCCGGACGTGGCGCACGACCCGGAATGAGGCGGGCACATAGTCGAGCTGCTCCGTGACGTCCTCACCCATGCGCCGCATGGCACCGCCGCAGTCGGGGCATACGCACGGTGCGTCATGCACGACCTCGGTGCGGGGCAAATGGTCGGGCAGCGGCTGTCGATACGGCTTGGCGGTCTCCCGTCTCGGTGGCCACCGGCATCGCCGCCGTGGCGGCTTCGGCTTCACGCTCTTCCGTGCCGAGTCTGGAGTTGGTCAGCCTGATGCGTCAATTTCTCCGACGAACGGCCGAAGGCCATGCGCCGCAGCCGCGCGATCTGCATCCGCAACTGCTCCAGCTCGGCGCCGGCAGCAACGAGCATGGCCTTCAGGACGGCGATATCGTCAGGCAGCGAGGCGGCATCGGGCGACACGCCCGCTTATACCAGAACCCCCGTGCCGATACACGCGAAAGCCGCAGGAAACCGCGCTTTTCTACCGTGCCAAGGTCGGCTGCGAGGACCGGATCGGATGCCGCCAGTCCACTCCCTCGAGCAGCATCGACAACTGCGCCGGGGTCAGCACCGCCACACCGTCCGCGGTTGCCGGCGCCGTGAACCGGCCCCGTTCGAGACGCTTGGCATGGAGCACCAGCCCCTGACCATCCCACCACAGCAGCTTGACCAGATCGCCGCGCCTGCCCCGGAATGCGTACACCGCACCGCCAAACGGATCCCCGGCGCAGCCGCTGCTGCTGCACCAGCGCGGCAAGCCCGTCGAAACCCTTGCGCATGTCCGTGACCCCGGCCGCCAGATACACCCGGACGCCGCCCGGCGGCCCGATCAAGCGAACCCGGCCAGCACGGCCTTCAGCACCCGCGCGTCGATGGGAGGTGCCGGGCGGATGCGCTGCCCGGCCGGGCCGACCACCTCCACCACACCCGGTCCGAGCGGCTCCGGCTGCGGCGCCATGGACGCGCCGGCCACCTCGACCGGCACGAACGCCGCCCCGGGCAACGGCAACGCTTCGCTCGCCACCCCATCGCGCAGCAGCGTGCGTCGCCAGCGATACACCAGCGACGTGCACACCCGGTGACGCCGCGCCACGTCCAGCACGCTCGCCCCCGGCATCATCGCCTCCGACACGATCCGCGCCTTGTCATCGTCGCTGAACCGTCGCCGCGGCTCTGCCCTATCCATCTCGATAATTCGCGTAGCCATGATGCCGCACCGGTGTCTGCCACAGTGCCGCACCTGTGGCTTGCGCATCACCTCGTCAGCAAGGCGGAGAAGACCGGACGCTTACGTTGCGGCTAACGCATCTTGCGATCGATGGAACAGGACTGGACTGTCGCGCCCGCGACGCGTGCCCATAAAACTCGCGTCTCCTGAGACCGACGATTGCCCTCTCAACCAAAAGTCCGCCGTGTCTGCTTTGATATCCGATCCGCCGTTCTCTGCCATAGCGCGCTCTGATGTGCAGCCGAGTATATGCATGCAAGGTTGCGAAAATGATCTTTGTCGCCGTCCAACTAGCCATGTTTAAGAGTGCGGCTATCGGGTGGTAACTACGGCAGCAGGTTCATCCTGGCGCCCGCCTCACGTTCAACCGTCGCCAATACCCTAGTCTGCAAGCCTGTTTGCTTCGCATCGATTTGCCTGAGCTGAGCGTGCATCCTTTGCTTATCGACTTCCATCAAAACGTAGCCGGAATGTTGCAAAATGTCGCTGAAAAGGATGTGCGGGTTGTTGGCCCCGGGACATCGCCGAAGCGTCCCGACGGTGGAGATTGCGCCGCCAGAGCCGAGGTCACGATCTCGGTGCCCACTCTGGCCTGAAGCCGGGCCGTGTTTCAGGTCGTTGACCCAGAAGCTATGAATGTCGCCACTGAGCACGACGGCATTGGTGACGGACGGCTGGCCCAGTCGCTCCGTCAATCGATTCCGGGCGGCTGGATAGCCATCCCATTGGTCGCTCCAGACCGTTTCACCCGTGCCATCCAGCGCCAGAGGGGCGAAGAAGACTCCTTGTGCCAATAAGGTCCGGGACGTCTTTCCTGTTGAAGGCGCCGCCGAGCCATGCTTCCTGCGCCGCGCCCAGCATGGATCGGTCAGAGACATGCCGCTCCTTGCAGTGATCGAGTTTCACGTTGCGCGCTACTTGCGGGCGGCGCAGGCCGAGAGCTGCGATATTGCCGCGTGTCCAGCATCGACAGCGAAGCAAGTTTCCCCAATCCACGCCTCTGAACAGGCGCGGGGTCGGTTTCGAGCGCCACAAGCTGGGGCGGATCGGCATATGCTCGAAATAGGCCTGATAGGCGGCTGCCCGGCGCGGGGCGAAGGTTTCGGGCGGCAATCCTTCGCGATTGGCCAGCGCGCGGCGTAGTCGTTCAGGACTTCGTGGTCGTCCCGGTCACCAGCCACGGGAACAGGCGATGGGCTTCGCGCAAGTCGGGATCGCTGCGATACAGGGCGTATCGGGCGCGGTAACCGTCAAGGTCGGTCGGGTCCGGTGCGCCGAAGCTGCGGACCTTGGGCTGATCGGCATGGGACTGCTCATAGATGTAGTCGCCCACTTGCACGATCAGATCGGGCGTAGCGGCGATCATGTCGCGATAGGCACCGAACCAGCCCAGTTCCCAATGCTGGCACGATGTCATCGCCAGTTTCAGCCGGGCGGCGTCCACCGGCACGGTCTTCGTACGTCCCATTAGCGCTGGTCGCTCCCAATGCATGGAAGCGATACCAGTACGTCCGCCCCGGGCGTAGACCGCCCAGTTCGACGCGAACGCTATGCGCCGCCTCCGGGCAGGCAATCTCAATGCCCGTTCGGGCGATGAGGCGAAAATTTTCGTCTTCGGCAACTTCGAAACGCACCTCGACGGCGCGCGGGGCAGATGCCCGCCAGCGGGACCGACCAACCGGGTCCATAGAACGAAACCGTCCGCTGCCGGATCGCCGCTGGCGACGCCCAGCGCAAACGGGTTAGCACTGGCGGCAAACGCGTCGAACCGGGGCAGGGCCTGTGTGCCAAGCGCAGCCATTGCTGCAAGCACCGCGCGGCGATGCCATGAAGAATCGTGCATAAAGCCCGGCCCATATCGGCCTTTTCAGACAGTCATGTGACAATCATCGACCCGAAACTGTCATCGCCTGCTTCTAACGGCCTCGCTCAGGTTGCGAGATAAGGACATGCCTTGACCGGCTACGGGACGTAGATCGCTGGTTCATCGACGAAGTGCTGCCGCATCGCGTTGCATTCCGCCGTCAGGCCCGCACGTCTCGTATCGCCCGGCGATGCAGAGGATCTTGTGCAGGAGGCTTACGCCCGCGCGATCGACGCCGCGAACCAGCGCGAGATCGCCAATCCGCGCGGCTTCGTGATGACCATTATCCGCAACCTTGTTCATGAACGCCATCGCCGCGCGTCCGTAGTGCGGTTCGAGCATCTGGCCGACATGGAAGCGATGGACTTTGCCGATGGCGCGCCCGACCAGTTCGCGGTCGTCTCTGGCCAGATCGAGCTGTCGCGGCTGATGGAGTTGATGGAAGGGCTACCCGCCCGTGCCCGCACCGTAGTGCAATTGCGACGTTTTGAAGGAATGTTGCCCCGCGACATAGCGGTGAGGATGGGCTTGTCAGTCTCTACTGTAGAGAAGCATCTTGCAAAGGGCTGGCCATCCCGGCCTGCGCGTTGCAGGAAGCGCCCCGCAGTCAGAAGGACCGACGATTTCACGCCTATGGCAACGCCGCCGACACCAAACGAACTGATGGAAGAAGCGGCCCGGTGGCTGGCCGCACTGGACGCCGGATCAGCCACGCGTGAGGACTTCGAAGCGGCGTGCGGCGGATTCCGGCGCGCAGTCGCGTTCGCGCAAGTCGTCGATGCTTTTCGAGCAGATCAAACCGCTGCGCGCGGTGCACGAACCCCTGCCAAAGCCATCCCGCCTCAACCGCCGCAGCCTGCTGCGTGGCGGCATGCTGGCAGGCGGCATCGCTCTGGCTGGTGGCACCTTTGTCATGCAGGCTGCAGCGCGTGAATATGCAGAAACAGGTGTGGGTCAGCGGCGGACCGTAATGCTGGAGGACGGCACGCGGGTTTCGCTCAACACCGACACCCGCATCAGTTGGCGGATCAAAGGGCGCCACCCGCTCGCTCTGGCTGGAGCGGGGCGAGATTGTGCTGGACGTGCGCGCCATGGCGGGGCCGGCGCTGCTCTTGTCCGCCAATGGCATGCGGTTCGATCTTGAGCACAGGATCTTCAACGCCCGACGCGAGCCAGAAACGGTGGCACTGCTTGTCCTCAAGGGCGCAGCCCGGAGCGAGCACGAGCGGGCCGGTGAAGGCGCTGTGGCGCGAGTCATCGGGCGCGATCTGGCTGTCCGTCCAGCGGAAGCGGTGGCGATCGACCGCGCGCGAAGCTGGCGGAACGGGCAACTGGTGTTCGAAGGCGAAAGCCTTGATTTCGTCGTCGCAGAGTTCAACCGCTACCTTGATGACAAGCTGGTGGTGGCAGACCCCAAGCTGTCGCGCATTCGCCTTGGCGGGCGGTTCACCAACACCGATCCGGCGGAGTTGCTCAAAGCGCTGGAGGCATCCTTCGGCATTCACTCTCGCCGTGCGGAGAGCGGCACGATCATGCTTGCGGCAAGCTGAACAAATTTTTGCGCTGCGATGGAGGTGGCCCCGGCCTCGCCCATCCTCCCTTCCGAGACACGATAATTCCGAAGGGGCGCAACATGCCGGTTCATTCTATCGCAATACCCATGATACTCGCGGTCGCACCTGTCCATGCAGGGCAGGCCAGTCACGAACAGACCATCTCGTTCAACATCCCGGCGCAGAACATGGCGACCTCGCTCAACGAGTTCGGCCGTCAGGCGGGCGTCCAGATGGTATTCCCTTACGATGTCGTCGCGAGCAGCCGCTCGGCGCCGCTCGAGGGCGCTTCACACGCGCCGAAGCGATCCGCCGCCTGATCGCAGGCCGCGGCATGAAGATCGCCTTCGAAGGCTCGAACATGATCTCGCTCGCCGCCGAGCCCGGCTCGTTCAAGCGCGCAGTAGCCGCGACCGACGGGGCCGCCGACGGCGACATCGTCGTCACCGCACAGAAGCGCGTGGAAGACCTCTCCAAGGTTCCGGCCGCCGTCACCGTCGTCTCGGGCGAGGAAGCGGCCAAGCGCAAGATCACCGACTTCACCAGCTCGGTCGACGAAGTGCCGGGCCTTTCCATCAACTACAGCACCGGCGGCGAAAGCTACGGCTTGCTCTCCATCCGCGGTATCGGCGGGGCGGACGACTATAAACCCAACGGCAGCCCTTCGGTCGCACTGCACGTTGACGGCGTCTATCAAAGCTCCAACGCCTACCTCGGCATGCCGCTGTTCGACCTCGAACGCATCGAGGTCCTGCGCGGGCCGCAGGGGCACGCTCTACGGACGCAACACCACGGCGGGCGTCATCAACGCCATCACCAAGGGCGGCAGCGATCACTTCGAAGGCTATGTCGATGCCCGCTACGGCAGCTACGACAGCTTTCGCGCTGAAGCGGCTTTCGGCGGCCCGCTGAGCGATAACGTGCGCATGCGCATCGCGGTCATGACCGATCAGGGCGGCGGCTTCATGCACGGCATGGGCGCGGGCGATCTGGCCGGTGCCC